TTATGGTATGCGTCGTAGATGTTGTTTCAATTACCATAATACTGCAAGCATCATTATTTTTCTCTCGTTTCTAGTAGAATAACTAACTAATAAATGTCATGAAATATTAATTTATTATCCTTATAGTTATGCCCTCAGAAGCACAGGGCTCGTTTAAACAACTGACTACAGCTGTATACAAAAGTAAAAAAAGAGCATAGATAGGATTCTTACAATCCAAGGAAGAATGGCCAAACTTCTGCTCTAATACTAGGATCAACACCCTGAACAGGAACGTGGAAAATGAGTACGCAGACTGTAGAAAGAGATAGCAGATGAAAAAGAAGCGACAAAGAAGAAGGAATTAAGTTAAAATGGAAGGGCCACAATAAAGTTCAAATAAGTTAACAACATACTCCACTGCGAACTTTCTTCAGAAGTTTGACTCCACCATCACCAAGTCTTCCATCTGGTGTAAATAAACTTTTCCACTGTTTTGGTAGAAGGGCATGTTTTCTTCTTAATCGGGACCAAGGAGATTTAAGATTACCTCTGAAAAGAAGACAAAATAGTTAAATATCTTACACCAAAGGCAGGCAAATTAAAAAAAAAAGTAAAATAAATGAACGACATATAGAAACATAGAGTGGCCATTCAATGACCTATTTGTTTTATTTGCAAGATAGATCAACCTTGTCTCTGTTTATCCTTGTTTTTAGATCAACCTTGTCTCTTTTTCATCCTTGTTTTTATCCTTTACAACTCACACCAACAATGAAGAGCACATTTTACTTAATAGATATTATGTCATGCATGCATCAGATAAATGAACTAGGGGAAAGCAAACCACTCGACCGAGCAACACTAATACCAACATGCAGGGATAGTAACAGAACGAAGAAATTACCAAAACTAACGAGAAGACTATGGCACTTGCAGACTACACAAATATGCTCAATAAGCAAGTACACGAGATAATTGACCAAGAACAAATCTAGAACGTTACCACGAAGAAAAACAATTCAGTAATTCCAATGAAAGAAATTTTATGTTACTGGAAAACCATGACGAAATATAATGCCGATACGGCGAGAATCACCCCTTAGGACTTCTTAAACAATAAGGTTTGTCCTGGAAACATCATGAATCATGACAAGAACCTCATTGGTATAGTTTCCTCATATCTCCAATATCTAATATCATTTCCAACTTAAAAGGAATAGAGAAGTAACTAACGGTATCTACCTAAGTATATTAGGTCAACTTGTTCTACAATCTAAACGTGTTAAGGCACCATTCAGGGATACGAATACAAACCCAAGAACAATCAGATTCTGAAATCTACAGAAAGTAGAAATTATAAGGAGATTGAACCAGAATTGTTACTAAAACCCGGAAGTACATGACAATGATGAAAGCTAACAGACGGGAACTTCAGATTAGATCCAAGGACAAAAAATTTTTGGAAAAAAAAAAAAAAAAAAAAAAACTTATCCTAATTGATAAGGAAAAAAAAAGGGTCATCCCGGGCAATGTACAAAATTCTACATGTAGACAAGTGGAAAATTGTTTATTTTTAAAGATGCCAAAAAGGGGTAAGGAACGGAAGAGAAATGCAAACTCACCGATCAGTAGACACTGGTGAGGATGATTAAGATGATGATGATGAAGAAGCAACTATTAATAGAACCGATCGCAAATGATTCCACGATGACGATGTAGAGGAATTTGACGGTGACAGTGACGGAGAAGATGTGTGACTCCGCCGTAAAGCTCTCATTAAGGGTTTCGCTTCCGTTGGCATAGCTATATACATCTATCAATCTAGTTACCTCTATGTC